GTTTTGAGGGTCAAAAATGAGAAAAACAATTTTTTAACCCATAAAACCCCCCGTAAAACCCCGTTCCCATGGTCCGATTATGCTGGTTCACGAACTCATTCAAGTTTATCCCGCCTTACACCTTTAAACCAAATTTCATCAAAATCGGACAAAAATTACTCAAGTTATCGCGTTCACGGACGTATTGTATATACACTTTACACTATTGTATATATATAATATTAGTAAAATATATATATATATATATATATATAAATCTATATATATATATAAATTTGAAAGAATGGTATTTTTGGCCTCTGGGGACATCAAAATGAAAAAGTAAATCGGTCCCGGGCCTAGGTCTTACCGTGCCACCTACGGTAATAGCTACTTCCTTATAGGGAAATTCGCTAAAACCAAAGTCAACTTCTAGAATCGAATTAAAATATGCATTATAATTTAGGCTGATATACTGTTTAACCAATTACAATGATGGACATCTTAGGAAAACAATTGTGCTCAAGTTAAAAAGAAAATTTTCTTCTGTGAAAGCTGACAAAATAAAAAACCGTACCATTTTTTTTATGTGTTTGATAGTGCAATGAAATGGTGTTAATAAAGCTGTATAAAATGTGATTTGTCTTTTAATTGTAGTATTTACTGAATGAAATTACACTAAAATTTTCTACAAAGACTTTGAATGTTATACTATTAATTTATAAGGTAAGCTCAATGAATTACTAAATCTTTAATCAAGTAAATCACAAATCTGCTAATAAAGAGAGTTGTGAAGTACAAGTAAAACATGAAATAGGTTCACTTATTTCCTATTATGTACTACTAGGCTATAGCTTTTTTACATTATACATGACCAAATTATAAAAAACCTTTACACTATTGTTAAATATAAATTAGTCACTCTTAAACCCATTGACAATGACGAAGTGAAGTGTATGCCTAAAATATCGTGATTTTCTTCCAAATGAACAAGTCATGTTTTTCTCTTAAATAATAGGCTTTAATAACAATGCATGTAAAACGTATATTTTTTTCTTTATTTATTTTGTCCATTTGACTTATTAGAATAGGAAATGTAATTCTCTCTTCATCCATTCGTTGGACTTAAAAGGTTTGGTTGCGGTTTGCTATTCTCTCTGAACGGAAACAAGACCATCCACTCACTGAATGTGTGCGTTCGTAGATCTGGTATTAGTTCAACCCCCTGAGGTAAATTCGAATAGGCCTTGAGATGTTCATCAATTCAAGACCCGTAAAAATCCAGGGATGGTGAATTTTGATCGAGTTAGATTATTTTCATTATAGAAATAGAGTCTTCACCTCAAACGCCCTGCGAAACCGGTGAAAATATAATCTATAATATAAATCAATGGACTTCAATAGTCAACAAAAAGGGCGAATTATTTTTCGATTACATAAAGAGAGACTGACGAACCGTTTTTTTCTATGGTTGGGGAGAAAAGTGTACCAAAAATTACAATAGAAAATTAAAATATTCGAACAAGTTTGAACAATTAAACAACGCTTCTTATCATCTTAATTAAACTATACCCCCGTCGCAGCAAACCTGCATACTAAGCGAATTTCCATTTACCCGGCTTGATTTCTACTAAAATATTCCCTATAAATTTTCAGATTTTTTTCCTATTTAAATAACATTAATTTTAGTGAGTAGTTAGGTTTGCTGCTACGGGGAAGATGTTGAGGTGTGTTTTTTCAATTGAACTATTGATAGCTTAGTATGAAATAAGCCAAGTTGCCAAATTTGATTAAAATATATCCATAAACAAGCAAACTAGAACAGTTTATTTATTCTCCTTAAGAATAACATGGGAATTCTAAATTTACAATTTTTTTAATTTTCTCCGTAGTCAATGAACATTCAAAAAAAACTTCAATATACTAAATTATTTGTTTTTTTAAGCTCTTCAAAATGGTCTAGAGAGAAATTTAGAAATTTAAATTTTTTAAGGTCAAAAATGAGAAAAACCCATTTTTACCCCATAAAACCCCCCATAAACCCCTGTTCCCATGGTCCAATTATGCTGGTCCCATGGTCCAATCATCGCGAACTCGTTCGAATAAACGTAGGTTTACACGTTTGTACCAAATTTCATCAAAATCGGATGATTTTTGCTCGAGTTATCGCGCTAACGGACACATATATATAAATTTACCATTATAAAATTTTAATATAATAATGCATTAATGTCCGAAACATGTAAGTAATATAAAATAAAATGTTTCTAGGGTACTGTGGTATTTTGATTTGCTTAATAATATATATATATATATATATATATATGAATTTGAACGGATTGTGTTTTTGGCCTCTAGGGACCTCAAAACGAAAAAGTAAATCGGTCCCGGGTCTAGGTCTTACCATGAGACCTACGGTAATAGCTTATTCCCTATATGGGAAATTCGCTAAAACAGAGTTGTTATTGTTTATTTTTTACAGTGAATGCCAGTGGTATCCTGCAAAGATATTTCACAAACAATTTTTGTGAAAAGTGATGCACCCGTCTCTCTCGCACACATGTCCGAAACTATAAACACATTAAAGCAACACAACCTGAAACCTACAAGGTTTTAGCATATCCCTTCGTATTATTCAAGTTATTGAGTTCACCCTGCTAAGAGAATTATAATATGTCTTTCTTAATGTGTATTTAATAGTTACTTTTACTAGCTTTACAATTCATTAGCCTTTTTTATACTACATTTTTCCTTTAAAATTCCGTCGGTTAAAATTGCATTTTAATTTGGTTTTTATTAAATTTATTCGGGGTTTTTAGAAGAGGGCCTTGACTTTTTAAGCTGTGGATCGTACCACAGTTAAAAGAATCAATTGGTTTTAACCTAAACTAAGGTCACCCATAGTTTACGTTAAGACATCACTTTTATTCTTAAAATAAAATGAAATTAAATAATAAAATTATTTAAGAGTCTTAAATATTATGATCTCAATGACATAGGTGTGTGTTTACCCATAGCAGTACTATTGAGTATTTACGTACGTGTATTTACGTATATACTCAATGGCAGTACTTAAATACTTTGAAGTTTTACCGCTCTTTAAATTATTCAAAAGTTCCCTCTTTAACAGTTAAAATAGTTTAGACAGACAGTGCAACGAAGCAGCATCTGTTTACTAATGGAAATGCAGATAAGATGTTGCTTTACACTGTAGTAATTGAATCTGTTTTTGCCACCTTACTTGTAACAACACATATTCCGAGTAATTGTTATAACAATATTTTTTGAATGTGTACATTTTTCATCAATTGGTTTAATTAAGAAATGCATGTTTAGTACAGACTAAACAATTTAACACAAAAGTTTTATAACACCAGCACATCCTTCAGCTAAATTTGATTGACTTCGTAACCTGTTTGTCTTCTATATGTTTACGAATCCTGAAAAAATTGCGTTTGATGTATTCAGAAATACCCAACCACTCAACTTTTATAGACAGTTCCATTGTATTGTGTAACCATCGTTTTGTAGTTTTGTTTACCATGTTGTTCTTAGATGAAAACACGATTATGTATAAATTAGTTACGTATAATTCCTGAACCGGACGACAATATCTTTATAACATTATGAACTAGAATTGATAATTACTCTTACCCTTGACTATTTACATGTTTGTGACTAAATAAATGTGCTAGGTTCACAATTTATGGAAAACCAGGTGATGTCCAGATCAGTCGTGTGACTCTAGGACTATCATGGTTAGAGAACAATAGGTTTGGACTTGTAACAACAGCACCGATGTTTGTGAAAATCGCTTAAATGTATTTATTCATTTTTTTTTAACTCCAAAGAATCAAAATAGATCATATGTGTGTCACTAATCTAAATAACATAGATCGTTAAATGGTTTTATATTTTTAATAAATATTTTATATGGATAGCTGAAAACAGATTGTTTGCGTATGCTTAAAAAATCTTTTCGTTTTAGCATCTGAAATTTAAACATGTGTAGGTTTAGTATTGCTAACTATATCCTTATGTCTATTGATTAAAAGTTAACGAAATTGATCGATAATTTAAAATAGTAAAGTAATACTAGCTACCGTATTTAATTGAATTGCACTTTTACCCCTTGGATTGCAAAAAAATACTAATAGCTATTTATTTTTCTATAATCCCTCGGAATATATAAATAATTTTGTAAAATACCTATTCATTCATTATTTGTGTCTTCCCATTATCAAAACTAGTTCTTTATCATTACTTTTGACCAATTATCTATAAATAAAACTAAATATCTATAAATAAAGCTAACACGGTTGGAAATCACTCTAACATTCTCATCTGCAGTATGAAACCCCGCCAAACATTTGCTTATTTCATGCCAAAATAAAACTAAATCGCTGTAACAAATGAATGCTTGCAGACAATATCTCCTAAATGCAATAAAAAGCAACGATATTGTCATCGCTGGAACGTGAAATCCCAGCTCCAAAACCACATATTGTCGTGGTGCTGGTTGCAAATATGTCATGTCAGCCATGATATTTCCGTATATAAAATGTAAGATATGTTGCCGTCGATTTGTACCATTTTAAACGAATGGTGATCATGTATGAATAGCCAAATTTTCACTCTTAAAAAGAAGATTTGAGACCAAACTTGTTCGATTCTTGACCGAGATGAAATTTGTTACTGGACCATAAAATGATGATGGTGTATCACAAAAAGTCAAAATAACAAGGTAATATATGTATATTATATTACCTCTGCTATAACTGAATATTGAGATACATATATGCCAATGAAGAACGTTTAATAGTACACCCTTCAATTCATAAGGTCAGGATATATATCTTAACAAATTATGTAAATACATATTTAATTTGAAAATAACCTATAATTAATCCTCAAGATGATTACACATTTTCGTCAACCATTGAATATCGTACACAGTATATCGATGCGTTATGAAGTTGTACAGGGACCGGGTTGTAAGTCCGCTTATTTGATATCCTTACCTCATAGAAGTAAAAAGAGTTGATTTCTCCAGTGGTATTAGTCGGAGTCGTCTCCAACGAGAGGTTGTTGGCAAAGTCTGATGATTCCATTGGAGTGCCGTTTATCGTCCTGAAAATGTTTATAAATCATTTATAACAACTCAACCGATAACTTATTGATTTTAATAATACTAACACTTTTTATTAATACAAATATAGCAACGTTTCCTGAAAATAAAAACCACATGCCCAATCGTTATTTTTTTAGTTATTATACCCTTTCGCAGAAGTTTTCAATTACAGTATAAATTGTACTTTTGAAGAGGCTTTTATTTGTATTACATACAACAAGTTAATGCATATTCTTGTTTAATTTGTCACGGAATAACAAACCAGGGACAACAATCCTCATACGTAGCCCAAAGCGTTGCTATAATCCCTAAATAAATATAAATTGATCTTCAAAATATATTTTCTCTTCCATTAGATTATTCAACGGAACGAGAAAAATATTGGTCGCAGTATAAATAAAATAGCACACTAATAACATAATTATGTTTAATTAGTATCATGTCACATTGGTGCATATGTTTTTGTCGCCTTTTGCTATGGGGATCTTAACTATCCATGACAAAATTGGTCTGTAGATTAATTACATAAATTTAAGCAGGAAATGAGCCGGTTCAGTATTATATTATCTGTTACAATACATTTTAAGGAACAACGCTATGATCCGAACCTACAACACTGCTGTGTTCGAATCACATTCACACGTTGCCACGCACTATCAAGTGTACGTAAATATGTACTTCATTTGCTACATTAAAACTCCTTTTGTTGATGTTTTTGGTAAGCATGTTGTTGTCTACTGTACAATATACTTTTTTGCAAAAAACGCGTTTCCCCTTCGTAATAGTTTCAAATACTAACAACTATATTTCTAACTAAAAGAAAGTACTGATTAGTTTCAAAGCAGGATGGTTATAAAAATCAATAGTTGGAAAACTTGTTATTCATGTGTTATCTTTGAGATATAATAAGTTGATGAATACCAGAAAACTCTTTTCTACGCATACCATTGTTGATATCGTGGACGTGGTGGAAAGGTATATAAATAATTAGTACTTGGTAACTTGCAGATTTAAATTAAGCTAAGCGAATGAGAGAAATTGCAAGCTAATCTTTGATTTATGACTACGGTGTAACTGACATAGGCTCTAATCTCAAATGCTTAAGTCGTTAGCAGAATAAAAAATGATTTAGAACAGGCTTCTTTCCAAAGGGGACTCAGCGTGGAAATATAGAAGTTCTTCCGGTTTATAAAAAATATAAAGGAAAACGATTTTCTATTTTTTAACTATACCTTTTTCTATTTATAGGTTTTTAACTAATTGTAAACTAGTTACATCGAGTAAATGTTTTTCAATCTAATGCATTTGCTTTAATTTGTAGTAAATGCTTTACACTATTATTTATATTAATGTAAAAAATTGGAATGTAGACAAGACAAATTTAATTTCACTTCTTTGTTTGATGCGATTGAATTTTCTAAGGATTCAAAGAATTTGAAGAAGTATGCTGAATTAACGCTAACCCGTTTGTTGGAAGGATAATTTTCTTCAAAGAGCACAATTGTAACTAAACATTCCTGTTTATTGTTGTTTTTATTGTTTATAGGTTCTTTTTTTTAAGTGATAATGGTAAAATGTTGTTATTTTGATTGAAAATATGTATTCAAATAGATTATGTATATACTTATATGCATTGCACCACTTATTCTTAAATTGTTTAATATTGCATTTAATCGTTTTGAATATTTGCGTGTTTTTATTGTTTGCTTCATTTATCAAAACAGTTTGCCACTAATCGGAAAAAATATTTTCTCTTTGAATAGTAGACATTTTAGTAGCCTACGATGGATGATGAGTTTTTTAAAGCAACTGAAAACACAATGTAGATAAACACAATACTATAGTTCAATACTGGACTACTAGATTGAACAGTTCAATATGTCGATGTGGTCTTGTTTTTTGTAATATAAGTTTGCAGTGTCCTGGATTTTTGGAACCTGTTAAAATATTTCACTTGCTTCTAAAATCATCACACTTCTCCAAAGATTTATAATGACAAACTGATAAACATTTTTAACTTAAAACTTGTGTGTTTAGTTATCGACATTTAATGAAAAGGTAAATTTACAAAATGCAACATATAACTAAATTACTGAAAGCTTTGATACATAAGGAGGCTTAATACTGCAAACTGTCTAAAAATGGTGCACATAAATATTTTTCCCTACAGTTACCTGACAAAGCAGGCTTCCTTGCGCTGTTTATAGCACGCAAAGTAGTTAATTGCTGCATTTACTTACTCTTGCCGCACTCCAGTATTCCAACCAAAAAAACACAAAACAGGCTGCTTTTATACGGCACATAATACTTGTATGCTTGAAAATAAGTTGGCAACACTTAAAGATACTACGACTACGATCAGCTGGTTTCACAGCCTTTGAGTATTGATGCTACGACTTAACCTGTTGTTTCGTGTTAACATTCTATTTCGTTCAACGCTAGGATTAAACCTTACATAAAATTTGTTGTTTAATGTTTGAAAGACTAAATCATTTTGTTATGCTTTAACTCTAGGAAAAATATAATGTGTAGTGCGAGCGCAAAGTACCTTTGTGCACTAGTTACACAAATATCTTTATCCGTTACAACTGCTTGGCAAAATTTTATTCACCAAATACATATCCTGCAAGAACCTATTTAATATGGAAGACGAAGTCGGTTATCATCTAAGTTTACACAGTTTAAAACTTATATTGTTTGTGTGGCTAAGTTTAAGCAGTTATTGCCCCAAGTTAACTGACCTGGTTCATGATACAACCAATTTTAAAAGTATGCGTGTTTTTTAAACTAAAATTATTTTTTATTAAATTGAAACCATTCCGCATGTTAAATATTTTTTCTGAACATGGCCTCATCTATTGGTTTATTTTTATATTAGCGGAAAATCTTTACAGGTACACTTTTAGTTAGTTGGTTAATTAAGTACCAGGAATCAAACAACATATTTTTAATAGAACATAATCTATTATTAATAATGAATTCCTGCATACACAGTGTATACAGTGTTTTTTTTTTCTTTTTTTTTCAGAAACATGTGCTCTTTGTTAAAGTATTCAAAGTCTTTGAACGTTCTTATCACTGAAAAAAACTATAAAATATTCAATTAAGTAATAACCAACATTAAGCCTAAAGTATTTCTGTAACTAATTAACTGTTACAGTATATCTCAAATGCAGACATACATGGATAGTTGAACGTTTGTTTTCTGTGCCTTTCAATCCAACGTTTGCGAAATCTTTTTTGAATTGGTTTTTTGACTGAGTAATTTATTTTAGGCTACCTTAATGTAAAGTATTATTTTTCTGACACCTCTTCATTCAATTAAAATTGAGCCTCAAAACATTGCATTTGCTTTAGCAATTTGATATTTGGTGCTAAAGATGCTTCTAAAGCCTTACTTACCGTCATCAAGTCTATGAAACCGACTGGTGATAAAGCTCGCTTCAACCTCGCTGGTTCAACACCTAGTAGGGTCAGTTTTGTGACTAGATGCTACTTTTGTATAGCTATAAATCATTGAAGCTATCTAGTCGATGATTGCTTACCAAACCCTTACAACAATACCTAAAAATTAAATGGCGTAAAAATAAAAATAATAAATAAACTAGTTGGTGAATGGGGATGAGAATAAATGCGTGATAGATTGTGTTGTCGGCAAAAAGGTTGCCGAATTTATTGTAGCTGAGTTTTGCTAAACGGATTTGTTTACAAGGGATATACAATTCTTATTGGGAAGGTCAGTGAAAAGTTTCTGAAGCCACAAGTTTGGACGTACGCCAGTCCAGGGTAAAGACTTTCAGGAAACGTTCTTATGAAAGGAAATGCCAGTCCATTTACTGCTTTTGAAAGTTGTGGAGCAATTTCAGGATTGTAAGTTTTTATATTAGTAATGTTTAGTGAAATATTACAAATACCCCCACCAATGCAAACCTGCAGACTAAGTGAATTCCCACTTATGTCTGATCTATTTTAAATCAAATATCTCCTTAAACATGTACCTATTTCAATAATATTAGTTTAACGAGTACAGCGGTTTGCTGCTACAGGGAAGGTAATAGAGTGGGTTTTAAATGTTAGTAGTTTAATATAAAATTATAAAATCTTATGAATTTTGAAAAAAAAACAATTTCATAAACAAGCAAACTAACTCCATATGCATAACATGGGAATTTTACCTTTATAGATTTATTGAAACGTCCCCCTGGCTATTAGGTGCATTAGTGTTTCAATATACTAAATTATTTGTTTTTAAGCTCTCTTAAATAGTTTCGATAGGAATTGCAAAATGTTATGTAATTTTATGAATAAAACCTCTCCGTAAAGCTCTGTTCTCATGTTTCAATCATGGTGGTTCGTGAACGGACGGTGTTTTTGGCCTTTGGGCACCTCAAAACGGAAAAGCCAAGTGGTCCCGTTCCAGATCATACCATGAGGTAATAGCTTATTCCCTATATGGGAAATTCTCTAAATACAAAAATAATTCTCTATTTCATAAATAAAATATATCTAGACTAAATATAATAAAAGAAACGTAAGAGTTATAAAAAACACTAATAATCCAACCGAACACGTTTTATGAGACTTTGTTTTTAAAGGGAACAATCCGTCGAAAATAAAAGATAAGGATGTTTATAAAAATAAAGACAACCCCAATGACTTCCTTCATCCACGTCTGTAATTTAATTTCTGTTAAGTTACGTATTTAGTTTTAGTTATACTAGCATTCGATGTACATTGGTTTGTACAGCCAAAACATAATCCATTTAGGTAGTCATCCGATCCAAGAATGGCCCGATATAAGACAAGCTACTGCCATTCACGGTTGTATTAATAAATTAATTTTCCACCCAATTTAGGTCTTGACAATTTTTAAAATTATTTCCTTTTTTAATGGCATTTTTACTTAATGTCAATTTTTTTTTTAGAAATGGTACATTAAAAATAAAGTATTACGGCTTACAGATAAGGGAATTTGGAAGGAAGGCTACATATGAGGTGA